GCCCCAAGCACCCCTACTATTCTCAATTAGGGTTTAGGGCTCACCCCCCAGACCCCCTCAAGGGGGGCTTTCCTGCTCTTTTCCTCCCCCCCCTCGCGGCTCACCATAAATGCGCTTTTTGGCAGCAAACACAGCTGCAATGGATTGGTGTCGGGTTGTGGGTCCTCGCGGCCTGTGCCGGCCGCTCGACGAGAAGCAAGCATGCCCAACAGGCCCCGGGTCCGTGGAATCTGCCAGGGCCCCAGACCTTTCTGGGGGTACCCCCCCAGACCCCCAGAAAAGACCAAAAAACACCTCGGTTTGGTCCTCATTATAACGGACTGACGTCCGTATTGTCTGAGGCGTAGCCGAGTCATTTCCGTCCCCGTCTACCGGGAGGCTTTACCCTCCCTCACCGTGCTGTCCTCGAGCGCCCATGCAAATGGTCAGCGGCGCTCTCGGCAGTTTCGGGTTCAGGGTTTAGGGTTCAGGGTTTAGGGTTTAGGGTTTAAGGTTCATGTTTTCGGGTTTAGGGTTCAGGGTTCAGGGTTTAGGGGTCTAGGGTGTAGGGTTTAGCGTTTAGGGTGTAGCAGTACCGCCGATATGCTAGGGAAGGATTCCCGCTCCCGGGGTGCTCCTCAGATGATTCTTGGATATGTGGGGTTTAAGGGGAGGTCTTCTTTTTAGGGTTTAGGGTTTAGGGTTTAGGGTTTAGGGTTTAGGGTCGACCCTGGCATTAAGCATACAGAGCCTGCACAAGGGGATGTTCCTACCAAGTAAGCTTTGCTAAGGCCTCCAATGCGGCCCTTAATGCAGCACGGACGGACCCTGATTGATAGAGACTACAAGTATTAAAGGCAACATGATTGCAAAACCCGCCCAAACCCTTAACCCTAACCCCTCAACCCTAAACAGTTGGGGGTCTAATTAAAAAACCCAACCCAAGGACCTACAAGCAGGCTTCACCCCATACGACTTATAAACCCTGAGGACATGCGGAACAACTTTATGAACCTTACCCTAAGGGTTTAGGGTTTAGGGTTTAGGGTCTTTTATGAACTTACGCTAGGGGTCCTAAACTTTTGGGGTACCTCAAGATGTAGGGGCTCGGAGACCCCAAAGAGACCCAAGGACTCTCTCTATCTTCAGGACAAAATTTAGGAGGTTTAGGGTTTAGGGTTTAGGGTTCTGGACCCTTAAAATTAGACTCCCTGCCTCGGTCAAGAGCGTAAGGGCCCTGTCAAGGACATCCGTCGGCCCGTCCTGGCTTCACTGACCAGCAGCTTAGGTTTACTAACCCCGGGTTTGGGGGTTTGTGGGGTTTAGGGGTTTGCAACTAGCCTAAACCCTAAACCCTAAACCCTAAACCCTAAACCCGGGTAGGGGTGAGCCTACGGGTGGAGATCAGAAGGCCAAACCGAAACCTTTCTTGAACACGTATTTTCAGGCTAGGGTTCTAGAACCAGGGTTTAGGGTTCAGGGTTTATACAAATATAGGGTTTAGGGTTCAGGGCAAGAGAGTACTGCACTTTGGGGTCTAGGTAGTTCCTGAGCCCTGAGCCCTAATTAGCCTCGAAGCCCCACCTACATCGGCTTATGGCCTAAGGTTTAGGGTTTTAGGGTTTGGTCTGGGGTTTGGGACTTAGGGTTTAGGGTTTAAAGTTTAAGGTTTAGGGACATGGTTGAAATCTCGGGTCTCGACCTCTTCGGCTTGGAGCACCGCGGACATGACCGCGTCCTTTGCGAAGCCCATTTGCCTGCTTGAGGAGTTAAGGGCTGAAAGGTTTTAATTGGAGTTCTTGTATGGGCCTTACCAAACAGCAGGCCAGCAGGCCTTGGCAGTATAGTTTAAGGTGGAGTTTATAGCCTGCGCGTAAGTGACCATTATTCCCCAATCACAAGGTCTCTGTCTCTCTCTTGGGATCCCG